AAAACTGTTACTGGGATTAGATATGCATTTGGCAAAAATCACAGTAATAAAGCACATTTAACCCACAGTCATGTTCAAAGTCTGGCTAGGATGTTGCAGGATGTGTTTGCTCATTGAATGCCTGCACTGCCAGACGTGATTTTAAAGCACTGTGTAAAATCTGCTGTGCCTAAGGGTCAACACTGCTCAGGCACTTCTTGTTATTCCACGGAAACCCACTGCTTTTGGGATGGGCACAAAGCAGAAGCCCATCTATGTGTGAAGCAGGCAGCAAGCCACAGGAAAGGTAAAGCCACATGTCTCTGCCTCCCAATGATCTAAATTTTCAAGGCATGTCAGAAGGAGTGGGGCTGACACATGTCCCACCCAAGGGATGAGCTTTTTGATCCATATACAGATTCTACCCTCAGAGGGGTGAATCTGGTGCAAAGACCACAGATCATGCACCAGACATTTGGTGTTGTCTATTCTGTTCAGTGGAGAAGGGCCCAAGTGTAGGCTAAACCATGTTCTCCTTAACCTCTGCTGTTTGCTTGCCTTGCCAGCTAGAGGACAGCTGCAGCCCAGCACTGGTTCCATTCACTAGGACTTTGCATGATGTTGTATCAGGCTCATCTAGACAGATGCTTGGACTAATTTCTGTCTTACACTGGCTTTGAGAAACACACAGCTCCATGTACAGTACAGTGCTCAGTGCTAGGGACTAGGCCCAGGAATACCTGTGTCCTCCATGCACAGACAGATGTGCACATGGACCATGCCCAGAAGTGATGTCAGCACAAGTCTCTTCATCACAATGCTCCATAACCTCCACACAGTCCAGACCTCTACATATGGGACTTTGGGCTTGTACCAAATACAGGTCCCTACCTGTGGTCTAAACATTTCCTCCACCTTTGTTAGCACCCTCTGTAAGCAATTTGGAAAAGCAAAGTGGGAGAAAGCAATGTACTCTGTCTGGGGAGATGTTTACTAATAGCTATGAACAGAAATGTTTTGACAATGGTAACCCAGATATTGATGAAACTCCTGGCAATTTATTGGGAATGAAAAGGTAATTTTTATTCTGGGAGGTGGAAAGAAATGAGCATTTGGTAGGTTTTCAAAACTGATTAGTGGCTAATCAATCACCTGATGATTTCCCTGAACAGAGCTCTAATGTTGCTTGTCATTTCTTGTGTGGGACCTTATCACAACACACAGCTGTGCAGCACATCTGGGAATTGCAAACCCCCTGCACTAACTTCCTTCCCTAACTTTTCACTGAACAGACATTTTCCTTTTGTCTGAACAGCAGAAGCAGGACACAGTGTGAATCCATTGCTGTTCCCTTTTCATGAACAGCAGGACACTCCTCCCTCTCCTACATAAACATTCCTGTGGCTCAATCCTGCAGGGCACTGAGCAAACCCTGCTCTTCTCCACATTATCAGCACCTTCATGCTCTAGTAAGGGCCTAAGAATAACCACTTACATCAGTGTGATCATTCTGTGATCAGGTCCATGAAGACTATGGTTCTGTGAGCACACTGTGCTCAGCAAGGCACAGCCTGAGATGCTGCTTTGCCCTTCTGCCTAGAAACCTGCAGGACTGCAGCAGTGCAAACCACAGAGCAACTTCCCCATCCACGCTGAAGATTTGTAAGACTTGCTTTCCTCTTCTTAAATCTCTCCTAACAAAGCTTTGTTCAAAGATGATTCACAGATGTTGTCATTAAAAAGTTGGTACCTGCCAACAAATAACACATGGGCCTGCTTGAGGAACTGCTGTTCCCACAGCTTTCCCCAAGAAGACATACTTGTGGTAATTGGTAAGGCCTGTGAGAATATGACATTTTAAAGCATCTTCTACCATACATAATTTTGGAAGAGAATGCTGGTTTCCTGAGAATTTGTCTTGTTCATGTAAAATCATTTGGATAAACACACCGCATACAGAATAGATAATTAGGCTCATTACGATTAAAGAAGTGGTGATCTTTTGAGACAACAGTGAATGTGTCAGGCAAAGACTTATTTGTAACAAAGATAAACAGCACTAAGTAATAGACAGCCATGTATCTTAATTAAAGACATAAACGAAAATGATTAACTGATATGCAGGCATGATTCTCAAAGGCTGGAAGGTGACAAAGGGACAGGACTGTACTATGCATTGCAGGATGAGCTGAAATATAGAGGCAGCAATCCCCAGTCAAAAAGAAAAGCATCCAGGGAAAGGATATGTACAATGACCTGGCTGGAATATACACACACAATCACTTCTGTGTTTACCTATCCAGTGCACACTGAAATCTAAACCCAGGGAGCTCAGCCCTCTGTTAGCTTGTTAGTTTGGAAAAACAAGGTGGGAGAAAGCAATGTACCCTGTCTGGGGAGATGTTATGAACAGAAATGTTTTGATGATGGTAATCCAGATATTGATGAAAATCCTGGCAATTTCTTGGTAATGAAAAGGTAATTTTTATTCTGGGAGGTGAAAAAAATGTGCATTTGGTAGGTTTTCAAAATCTAAAAGCAATCTCAGTCTTTTGCAATGCTCTCAACATGTAAGCGGTAAATACAATTTTGTATAGGTTTCAAATAAATGGCAGATGCAGTAAATTTCTACTATATTCTAAGTTCAGCATTTTAGAGGTTGACATCGAAATCCTTTCCTCTCTTTTTTTTTTTATGGACCTGTTGTTAAAAGCATGACTGCTCTGCCAAAAGTTCGTGTTTGGAAAGGCTTTTATTCCTTTTTCATTCCTTTTGTTCTACTGTATGACTCCATGCTACAACATGAGCTCAGTGGCTTTGTATAGCTCTTGTTCGTGTCTCACCCATACCTGCTGCAGTCAGTAAGGATATTCCCTGTGACTTCACTAAGCCTCAAATCAGGCTTTGACTTGGGACTTAGCTTTAGCGTCAATTCATGTCTCAATTCACTGTACTTCAGGCAAGCAGGGAACAGGAGATGTTGTCATGTTCCACTTCCACAAAACAATGGTTTGATGTACTTGACAGGGTTTGAGTTTAGGAAATACAACAAGTTCACAGGCTGTACAGTTACAAACACCATCTAACAGACATGCAGCAAGAGGAAATTCAACTAATCTCATGTTTGTTTTTCTTTACCATTCTATTAAAGCAAAGCAGCTCTATAATGAGATTACTGCATTTTATCTCTTAATTGTATCCAGATATGCAAAAGAGATTTACTGCTAGTGGCTTGTATACAGTACAGTATTTTAAAGCTAATTATGATACAGCATTACTGTTGTCACACAATGAAATACTTATTCTTCTGCTATGAATCAATACCATTTTCTAAAATATATTGTAATTACCTTTTTAATTGGATATACACCCTGCTAAATTCTGAAATAGCTAGCTATATAAATATAATTCTTCTAAATCCAGGATGACATCAGCATAAAGCATTTTAATTAAATAGATTGCAAAAAAAGGGGAAAAAGAGACACTAAGTAGCTTTCCATTATTAAATCCAGCTGAAAGTCAAGTCTTGAAAGTATTCAAGCTTTTCTGTTTGAACGACTGAACTCTGCCATCATCCATGTAAGAGTGCACACTCCTCCCAGAATGGTGTGTTAACAGTTTGATTGTTTGCTGAAGAGCAGCCAGCACCTGGCCTTTGTTTGCAGTGCTCCACACAGAGAGGAAAGCATGTTAAAGGATTTATCCTCCCCAATCCCCAGGGCCTAAACCATCACTGCTTAGGGATGTAATACAATAAACAATAAAAAAGTTAAGCAAATAGTTTTAAAATAGTATTTTATCAAAGTTCTTCTGTTCAAAAACACTGGTGAGTAGACAGTGAAAATCTCTGCTTGACCTGTTAGCTGCAATTCCTTAACAATTTGTATAAACTGTCCCTGTGTGATGATACCACATGGGGCCTGACCATACAGGCCATCAATGCAACCCAAAATTCAAGTATTTATGAGTTGGTACTGCAAATTACTTGTAACATTTTGCACACATTGGTTTTCCTGAACAGAGATTCATAACAGGAACAACTGAAGTCTTGACTATAGGTTATCACAGCATGTTTGCATATCTTACCTGAGCATGGGCTACCTTTTCCTGCTCTCCACTCAGTGGTACAGGGACAAGGAAAAGGCACTTGTTTATCTCAGCAGAATGAAGCAGCAGTTTAAAACCCACCTGAGTTCCATCCATCTCAATGAGCATTCTTATATCTATTTTTCAACACTCTTATACCTGTACTTCATCTATTTGCACATCCAATCCACAGTGTATTTACACACACTATGGCAATTAAAGCAGTTGCATTTCAATAAGCGAAAATTAATCAGAACTTATGGGTACTACAAACCAGTAGTATCAAGTATTTAGAAAAATCTCATTGAGTTACTAAATGGATTTAGCTACATATTAAATTGCCAATATGTCGGTGGAAGTTAAGTTAGATTCTGATGCTGATTCTACATTTGATGACATATTATCCAAGTCATTTAATGAATAAATATTGCAGAATGCAGATATGAGCCTATCAAGAAATTCCACTTAACCAGCAGCTCTCCACTAGGAAAAAACTCCATAGTGTTTCATATGTTTTTTCAAGAATATATACTTTCAGACAACTCTGTTTGGATCATCCTTCGGTATCATTATGCAATAAATAAATATTTATGTTAACACTTAGCACACTCTATAAGGGCATCAATTTTCTATTTATTTGAAGAGCTCACATTATCTAGGAAGGCTCTTCAGTATTTCTGTGATCTAGATTTCTTCGCAAATATTATTCACTCTAAATTTAAGTCCTTTATCTGCGTGCCAAGTGTTAAATCATATTGGGTTACTGTCTGTATCATTCTATTTTTGCTGCAGCTCTTCACAGATAAAAATTCAAATCCTTTGAATTTAGTGGGATTTTGACAATAATTCAAGCAGTTATGTCTGAGGTCTGTCCACCTAATTGTGACACTTATGTATTTTCAAGCTCTCTAAGTGCCTATAGAAACTGTATTTACCTGCTGTGTGAGTCCTGTCACCGGATCCTTGACAGCCATCCTCATCATCACAATCCCCGCTTGACTCCAGCTCTTCACTTCTTCCACCCCCACTGCCAGCATCTTGGGAAGCCCATCTTTCCAGTTTCAATTTTGCCTTCTCAGCATCCAGCTGAAATGGAAGAAACAACAAACCAACAGTGGTCAGAGTATTTACACAGTTCCTGCCTCTGGTGTCCATCTGGTTTGTAAGCAACAAGCACTTTATCACTCACTTTCAAAACAGCTCCTCAAGCTGGAGGTTGTTTCTAGCAATGACATGCAAACATTTTGGAACAGCAGACTATACCATCAAATGTTCTCCACCATAGATGACCAGGGCACTTATCATCAAACTTTTAATTGAAAACATCACACCTACCAATATCATCACAGGGAGTGCTGTTCCTACAGCTTTTTCTCTTGCAAACCACCGTTTCGACATCCCTGGTTAATGATGGTGCAATCTGCCAGCTGTCCAAGTCCTTATTTTGAGTTATTCACAGCTGAAGACAACAATATACTTTGCAACCTTTGAAGAGTTGAGGGCATTTGCTACTTTTCATGATGGGCTTCTTCTCTTGGAAACCTTGGCCCCTGGATATGATTTTTAAGATGATGCCATTTAATATGCCTGTACCATCTGCAAGTTGCTTGTTAAACTTCACTTGAAATATATTTCTAGGACTGAGCATAAGAATAAGAAAGCCTTTTCTAAAATAAATCCAAATGTATCACACTAGGTCACACTTGTTCTAACAACATATTTACTCCCCAAACTCAGCTTTTTGATCTTTAGATAACTCTTCCTCCTGCTGTCACCATGAGCAGCTGCCTACTGTTAGCACTGTGGGAATAAATGATTTTTCAGTTAACTGGTAGTTCCAAAAGATGAAAAATCCCATTTCATTGGCAGTGAATCTAAAGCCAGTCTATGCAGGGCACAGCAAGAGCAGCACTATTTGGGAAGAAAAAAAAGTAACTGGCTCTGCCTAATAAATTCTGCTATGAGGTGAATATTTATCAAGCGAGGGTGATCCAGGAGAAACCAGAACCTTTCACCCACACCTGAGCAGCACTGACTCCCTCAGCTACATGGCACCTCTCCTGCTGGAGCTGTGCCACTCCTGTACAACACTTCAGAGCCAAGGTGCTCCCCATTCCTTGGTGGCCACTCTCCCCTCACATCTCCTATCTGTGGTTGCTTGTGCAAAGGACACATCAGGGTATTAGAGAAGGTGGGATAGCTCCTGCACAGAGAGGCCCTAACACCTCAGCCTCCCCAACAGCCCAGGGATAGGGAAACAACTTGACTCTGAGTGTATTTTTTTCACAACCTGGCTAAGTTGCCCCGTTACTATCAAGCTACCATTACCCCCATACCTCCCATCCCCTCACATTTGGCAAGTGACCATCAATTTACTTTATGAATCTTGTTAGAAAATTGCATTGGGGGGGATGGTTTTGCTTTTAAGTGATGGGAAGAGCCATTCCATTATTTCTGATCACCTCTTTCCTGTAGCTGAAACTCAACCTACAATGCCTCTGAACAGTTTGGAGAGGCAGCAGCTTGTCTCAGTTTGAGAGCTAGGAAACCATTATTCATGTTAGCTCTGCTGGTATGGAATGAGGAGCCACGATTAGGACTTGTTATTCTTGTTGTGTGGAAATATTTTAACCAAATGGAGAGGCTTTGTACTGCTTCTCAAAGCCTGTCAGCTTCTGGATCTACCCAATACCCTTCATCACAAGTATCTTCCTCCCAAAGTATTGCAGATCCATTTCAGGCTTTGTGATCTGCTGCATCCCTGAGGACTGATTATTCTTGGTACTGAGCAAAATGTATTTTGAAATGTAGCTACTTTGAAGATTCGAACACTTTTCACACTAAAAAGGAGGTGGGTTGGGAGCTGTGGGTGGGACTGGAGCACAGGGCTAATACAACTGTATCAACTGGGCTGAAAGGGTGATGACGGATGCAGCAATTTCTCTGTAGTGGGAAGCTTTGTGTGATAGTCTCCTTCTTCTTCAGATGCTGTGAGCTGCCATCCTCCACTCTGGGGCTGACAAATGCTTGGATCAGTGCAGCAGAGATCCTGTTCTACAGAACAACAGATGCCAAATTCTATATGGGAGAACTCAGGCGATTTTTCACCCTTTCACTGAAAAGATCTGTTTGCTCATTCTGAAGACACAAATAACTCCACAGTGCAGTGGGAAGATCAGTCAGTGGGAGGAGAGGGTATGGACTCGAGTGGGGAAGCACATTAAACACTCTCTAATTGTTACTGCATGATTGTTTTTTATAAACAAGTCGCTAAATGTTGAACCCTGTTATTCACAGCCATGAAGAATGATGTCATGGCAATACAAAACAACATTTTGTTAAGCAATTGGAAAAATTTGCCTATGAGGAAGAAAGATAACTCACTTCTTTCACAGATTTATTGTGTCCTGACCATATTAGAAAAGACTCATTCATTCTCAGCTGTAATTCTTCAGAATGAAAAGAAATGGCTAAGTGGCAAACAGAATGGACACAAAATTTAATAAAGGCTTTTAATGCCTTTTTGCCAGTCAGAGCAGAAATGTTTACTGCCTGGTAAGGTACTCCTTCTTTTCAAAACATTGATTTCATTCATTGCTCACGGCTCAATCTTGATCTCTGTTCAAAACAAGTAATACTTGAACCAAATGGACATCACCTCCAAGAAGCAAGCTGAGCTTTCCAACACGGGGCACTGCAGCATTTCCCAGGATTCTGGGTTCTTACTGCCTTCCCTACAGCAAGAGATTACCTGTAGCCCAGATCTGCATCTCCTCTGTATTACCAGCAATCTCTTGGCTTGTCAGCAGAGACTGCCATCAAATTACACAGAACCTTCACATACAAGTTCAACGTTACCACTTAATGTTAACTTATGTACAACCTAGCAAACTTTTTCACCTTGTATACCCTTTCCCAAACTCTTCTGTCTTGAGGCTACCATTCCACTAGAAGGATGGACCAGAGCCCAATTTTGTGCATCAGTAATGGTCTATCTATAAATAAACCCCTTCAAGGAGAGGGAATGGTGTAATCTCTTTAGTGAGGAGCTCCAGACACACTGTGCAGCTCTGCTGAGAAGACAATGTCACCATTGCATAGTGACTTGTGATCCAGCATCCTTCTCTTTTCCAGATTCTGAAGGAACACTGGTCCTTTGGCTACTGCCACAGGCCTTTAGAGAGATCAATTTTAGAGCAGTAGCAAAGCTTATGCTGCATGTCTCCTGCTCCTTTTTTTCATAGAATAATCAAACCTTTCTCAAAGGCCTAAGACTGCACCAAATAGCACATACTGCATTAGGGTGGACTAGGATGGTGGAGCTTCAGAAAATCGTAATAGAAGACATTAACCTTCATTTTTCACTTTTAGTCCCAGAAGATGGGTGTGGGCAGGGAACACGCGTAATGCTTTATGACTGGGGGACTGAGAGGTCTCCAGCAGAGGAGCTGGAGGTCACATGAAGGTTCAAGTCACTTCAAGGCAGCCAAGATCTGTTAAAAACACTGAACAACTTTCCAGGCTGCTGCCACCAATCACTAACACTTTCTACTTCCCCACAGACGGCTGTAGAGAGAACCACAGTGTCCTACCCATATTTAACACTGGAGATCAGAGATTGGAGTCAGCCATGGCATTTCTATCACTGCTTAAAAGCCACTTTTAAAAAAAGCCTTATTTTGCTGACTTATACCCCACCTGCTGATGCATAACACCATCCAGCCATCTCTGGTGGCTCTGCACAACAGCTCCAGCCTGGCAGTGCCATGTTTTGACACTGAGAATTGATGCCTCAGTTAAATAATTGCAATGAATTTCAGGATGGGCACTGGAGCTTGTGGCTTTACCTTCACAAAGAAAAAGATATCTGCTGCCTAAGATTCCAGGGAATACTCGAATCTTAGCAGCTTGAAAATTAAGTCTTCAAGTTTTTGCTACATGTGAAAGATAATTTTTTCCCTCTTGAAAAGGTTATATAAATAGATCAATAAGATTTGTACAGCCCAACTGAAAACTGGCTCAAAACAGGCATTTTCCCAACTGCAATAGGCTTTGGATCAAGTTCACAAAGCTCTAAAGGGTTTTTGAGAAACTATACAGTGTTTCTGTGGGAAAGCTTTAATATCTGTACCTGACTCAGCTGGAAGGTAAAAATCACATATTACTATTCAGCTCTGAGTCAGATATAGATGACTCTCTGCATGCATTTTATTTATTCCAGTAAAGGTCTCAACCTTAAGTGACATTAAAAAAAGAGTTCTGCTGACATAAGGTTTTTTGGAGAAGAAAGAATTCATATGAGTGGCTCCTGTCTTTCTCCCCTATTAATACTTGATGAGGTAGCACACACATTCCCAGTCACATAAAAGAGTCCTTCACACTTCAGAGGCTTCAAAGAGTCCATGACACACAACCCTTGAGCTTTCTACAATGAGTCTAACCCTAATTCTCCCTCTGATCACGTGTGTTAGAATATAAATCCATTCTCCTGTTTTTTCATGAAGGCATGTTCCAGTTAAATACTTCCACACATTAATGAAATAATAACTGGTTTTCTCCATGAAAACTATTCTTTGAAAGTACCAATTTCTATTCATTTCATTTTCTGAGGGGTCATATATGCATGTATATCTGAGGGGATGACTCCAAGCAGCAGGATAATAACCTAATTTCATGAGAAAATAGGTTTTAAAATTATATTTTGCACCACAGTTTCAGACTTCTCAGGTCAGTGAACACAACAACGAAAATCTAAGAGAATACTCTTTCGGAGTGAAGCCACTTAAAAGTTGTGTGCTTGGAATACTCAGCACCAAATTCCATACAATAATTGTTCCTGAGGGATTTGTTAATTAGTTTTCTACGTGCCAAATTGCAATGTGAATGCTTTTCCTCTCCGAAAAGGCAGCTCTGAGGTGAAATCTGACTTGTGTCCACTCGTCATGTGAGCACACATATCACTTGCTGCTGTTTCCAATGTGATTAAAAATGGCTGATTATACACTGCATTTAGAAACTGTAAGCTAAGCATCATCTTTTCTCAAGGTGCTTAGAAGTAGCTGCCTCTTTGCAAGTGCTTTAGTGAC